ACTTATAGGCAGCCACAAGGTTGCCTCTCAACCTTCTCTTGCGGAGGCTGAATAGATCCAGTTTCTCTAGTCTCTCCTCGTAAGGCTTGGTCTGTAGGCCCTTAACCATACGAGTGGCCCTTCTCTGGACCCTCTCCAGGTTATCCGCATCCCTCTTGAAGTGCGGCGCCCAGAATTGCACGCAGTACTCCAACTGCGGTCTGACCAGCGCCCGATAGAGGGGAAGTATCAAGTATCTTGATTACAAGTATCTTGTAAGAGTGGTATTTCTACCACTCTTACAAGACAATTTTGGTACTTGCCAATAACAGACAGTACACACAAGCAAAGGGCAATGTCATAATGAGGATGGCAACTACAGAAACACGTGTCGCAGACAGCGAGCAAGGAGCACAGATCCACACAGACTATTTTGATGCACATCATTCCCACAATGTACCACATGAAGCAGCTGACTGCAGGCTTCCACTGCACCTATTGCATAAGAGTGAATTTACCCTGCATATGAATTTTTGGTATAAAAAGCGTCATTGCATAAGAGTGAATTTGCACGTACAGAACCTGCATAAAGCAAGGGAACCCTGTACATTACTTTGTCATCTGCAGCATCAGTTACTAGATAAATGAGAACATGGAAAATTTACTGGTAGGGAGAACAAGAAAGGTTAACTTCCTGTTTTTAATGATGCATGAATTTTTAAAGGTCTAAATCCAGGCAAGCACAGCTTTAAAAAGTCAACACAGTTTTAATCGTACGCAAGGCCCATGAGTGCTTCAGAATCACTTTCTGCATCAGTAGTAAAAAAATTCTGTAGTGGCTTTTCATAAAACTATGCTGTGTCTGTCTGAAACAAATATTTTTTACTGCAATGTCAGAATATAAGGCATGGCTTTGGACATGCGGTTTCACCTTTATTACTGTGTGAATGTTCTGGTTGTCTCAGACTAATGTTTAGGGAAGATTTGTTTTTTCATTTTTTTTATAGTAGTTGGAAAAGACCATATTACAAGCAGCAGGAAATGATATATTTTAGCTTCTAAAGAAAAATCATAGCTGCAAAGAAAATACCTTTTAGAACTTTTCAGAATCTTAAACCACATTTCTCAGTATGTTGTTTTTTGTTTGTTTGGGTTTTTTACCATATTCCGGCTAACTTCTTAAGAATTCTTCCTGTAAATGAAGTGGACAAAAGTTTTTGTGTCAGTAGTTTCTTGGGGACATCAGGAGAGGAGAGAATTTTCTATATTTAAAGCTTTAAACATTTCCTTCTTTCTTATCCTTTCCTCCATGTTTGCCTGTTATTAATATCCTTATAACAAGTTGTCCCCAAAAACTGCATGAAATAAATTTAGTATTTCTCAAAGTAGGCCTGATATTGTTCTTTAATTCCACAGTAATGTCACAGAGTTTGATAAACTACTAGCTCTGATCATTTTTTTTGCAGTGGAAGTTTCTGATATAAAGTGTTATTGTATACTGAATTAGCCTGTATAAAATTAATTATCTGATATCCTTAGGCTGTATTCAAAATGATTGCCATAGTACAGGTTATAAATCTCTCTGGGACCATACAATTTTTTTCTCTCCCCCCCACAACTACTCCATAGATATATTCCATAGATCCATTGAAAATTGCAGGTGAGGGCCTCATGATGTTTGGGATTTCAAAATTGCTTTAGTGGCTGGAGAACAGCATCATTTAGTGGTCTACTACTTTTTTTAACTAGAAGCTCATGAAACCAAGTCACACAACAGGACGTGCTCATACCCAACACTACGATATAATCTTATACTGCAATTTTAGAAATGCCAGATGACATGCTGGCCTTACGAAAGTCAGTAGGAGTGTTGGTGAGACCCACTAAAGCAAGAGTTTTTGTCAGTTTCTGCCCAGTTGGTACTTCACTTCTGCAGGCAGCTCTCAAAAATAGGATGGAAACAGAACTGACATCATGGTTGACTTTGTAAGAGGTGAGACTATTTTTGGTGATGATTTTTTTTTAAGTTGGATCAAATGATTAAAAATTGCTCTTCACTATTTTGCATGGTTTCAGCATTGCTTGTGTCCATACCATCACAATGATGGATTTTTTTGTTGAGGTACACTAATACAAAATAAATAGTGTTTTATTATGGGCGTGGTATGTAGAGCTTTCATGTGGCAGAGGAATACTCCTTTCGGGTATAATTGGTGTCATGGGTTTTCATGCAGTGATTTTTATCTTGTGCATGAAGCAAAACAGGTTTTTGACAGCTATTTTGAGGCATCTGCATGCAACATGATTTGCAGTGCTGTTTATTGCTAGAATAGGACTCTCCAACTGGCAGTCCATGTGGCCCATGAGGGGATAAGTTGGAGCCCTGGGGCTCCCACCCAGTCACCATTCCACCCATTGCTGTGGCTGCAAGAGCAGCCAGCCTCTGCTTCCTGCATCACCTCTGGTGGGGCAGCACTGGGAGTGAGGGTGATTCTGTGGCAATATGCTCAGGGGGGAGAATTGGGATCCTGTAGGGGGGTAGAGATCATACCCATGCAGTGCAGCAATGGTGGGGAGGAGGCAGTCACATGGGCCTGTGGTACTGTGTGTGTTGAAGGAAAAATTCACACAATGTGCAGCCTGGTGACCTGTGCTTTGCCTGGTGCAGACAGCACAGTGAGCATGTGGCCCTCATGGGCTTACAAGTTGGATAGCCCTGCACTAGAATAACCTTGGACTTCAGAAGATCTATTGCAGCAATACTTTTAGGAACAAAGGCTTTTAGTTATTTCCACAAGTGCCTTCCTGTATCCACAGATGGAACTGTAAGGCCTGAGTGAATCAACAGAACTGTAGTGAATGCAATAACCTGGACTGCATGAGTTCAGGTAGTCACCTAAATGTGGGCATTATAAGTATTATAAGTGATTGCTGTGGTGATTGCCACCTGCAGGCACTGTAATCTCAAATGGCCTAGCCAGTGGTTAATTTTAATTCCTTTTCACCTAGTGTAATGCAGGCAGTTCATAAGCAGTTAGCAGATTTGAGTAGCTACACTGCATCACAGTATTGCATGTCATACTACCTGAATTAATTTCTGGCATGGGTGCCTTTGATGCTTTTTAATTCTCTGAGAATTAAGATGCAATCAATATTTTGATAGCTGAAAAAAATATTTCCATAAATAATTCCTTCTGTCGATCTTGGAGGTGGGGGGTGGGACATTTAATGGATGGGTCCCACATTGCTCTCTCAGAATATGTAGAAAGTGCTGAGGCAGGACCTCCAGGACCATAACAAATGTTATGATCTAGACTTATTAAAGGACTTAGCAGTGTACAAGGTAGACATCACACTTAACTTTTAGGTACCTGTCCTTCAGCATTGAATCCAGAACCCTCTGTTAGGCACCAGGACCCCTGTCCAGAGCGCACAGAGCAGTGATTCTCAACCAGGGTGCTATGGAGTGTACAAACATTATTCACAAGATAAACCTAGAGATATAAAATAGGAATCCATGGTGTTAAAACATTCTAACCTGTTATGAGTTTTCTGAATTTTTTCTTGCAAAAAATGAGTGAAATCTAAGAGAGAGCATTTTCCAAGGGGCATCTTGAGTCTAAGAATTAAGAACCACTTGCTGCTAGACTGCTACATAAAAAGATGCCATCCTCTGGTCATGCTTGAAAAGAAAGTGTTAGCTACAATTAGTTCTGCAGGTAGTGGTCTTAATATGTATTGAGACTCAATATGTAGTGTCTCGATAGGCATTGAGCATGGTCTTATAATGTCTTCTGCTTACCTCATATTTTGCACATCTACTGTATTTACTCAAATCCAAGATGAGTTTTTTTTCTCCCCATTTAACACAGATGGGGACTGGATTTGAGTATGAGGCAGTGGGGGTGGGGGGCTGGTGGCTGCTGTGGCTCCAGCTCCAAGCTGACTAATTCCCTACTTCCTGCACTCCACTGCCTGCCTTCCTACTGCCTTCCTCTGCTCCCAACACTTTTCCCTGCCGCAGCAGTGGGGCGGATGGATTTAAGATGATTCTCCAATAATTAGTTTCTATACATGGAAAATTATAACAAAACTATTAATTTTCCATGCACAGAATCTTTTTTGGAGGGGGAGGGGTCATTTTAAATTCAGAGTCATCCTGGATTCAGATAAATACAATAAAACTTTTTATTGGATCTGGACCTACATATTTAAATTACTGGTTGTTTAATTAGTTGGAGAGGAGTGTTGGCAATGAAGTTAATAGACCTTGCCAGCTGGTCTAGTTCCATTGAATAACTTAATAGTAAAAATTCTGGGAAAAAAATGTTTATTTTATGAGTTTTTCCAGATGGTAGGATAGTTATGTTAATGCACTATACAATGTTAAGGAGAACCCAAGATAGTCATGCTCAGTGAAATACCTGATGACATTCTGGAAGACTTGTAGTCATTTATGATCAACTGGCCCTTCTAAAAGTAATAAAGAATTTTTAATCCTAGGATCTGGCCAAGTTCCCACTTGGGAACTGTACTCAAAGTGAAGGGGAATTATACTCACATGAAATGGAAAAATACTCTTTTCCTCCTTTTCTAAAGTGTTTAGTATTGTGCATTAAGATACAGTTTTTTTCCTTTTTGCTAGAAGTAGATGAATAATACCGATGAATTAATCCTGAGTAAAAGCAGTATGGTTTCAAATTGTTTTCCAAAACACTGGGATCCTTCAGGATAAAAGGGGTTGTCTTTGCAACAAACAACTTAAAAGTTGGGGGTTTTTTATTTAATATCCAGCAATCTTTATAAAAGTGTAATCCGACATACAGTGGCTGACAGATACTTCTGATATTTTAGGAAATGCTTTGCTCCAGGCATGCAGTTTTTCATCTTTATTTGTCACTAATGTCTTGTTTGTCACTAATGCTCTGAGCTAGATTTTTTTCATATATTATGCTACTTGGGGATTTTCTTAAGTTGATGAAATATTAATTCATATTTTATCTGTTTATTTTCATTTTTAGGTTATTGGAATATTGGATGTGTTCACACCAGATGTCACATTGGAGAAATTTAATGATTTGTAAGTTTTTGTCTATAGGAAATCCTGTGCATTTGTTTCTGAATCCACTTCATGCAAGTGTTTTTGCATCTATAAAATGTTAGGTTGAAATTTCAAAGTTATTATAAATAAGTTTGGTTCCTGCAGCCCAAGGTGCCTAACTCCCTTACAGTGCTTTGAGATCTCAGCTAACCAGCTCCCTTATTTATCTTTGAAAAATCTTTTACTTAACATTTGTTTTAGAAATAAATGGCCAGATTCCAATGTTAAGGGTATGGTACTAGAGGTGCACTGATACATCGGTCCATGTCATATCGGCACCTATAAAAGGAAAATTGACATTATCGGCAGTCAGCTTTTTTTTTGACTGATGTGGCCAGTAATGTCACCGATAAATGTTGCGTGCATGCTGCATGGGCACGGGACAGAGCCATGAGCGACTCATCTGGGGAGTGCGGGGGGGGGGGGGGGGGGCGGGG